TCCTTTCCTATCAAGTTACTTTGATTGCTTGCAATAGGAGAGAAAATAATGAGGAAAGTCTTGTTAGAACTATGTAAAATTGTGCAGTGTTTCTTGGAGCACTAGAGGGAGCAAGAAGGTAAAAGTTCTCAAAAATGCAAATGCTTACTTGGAGGTTGAATCCTTAGGGTAGAAGTCTACCCTACCATGCAGGTAAATAAAACCAATAGACCATTAAAAATCCCCCAACAAAACACAAAGCATTATCAAAACTGAAGTGATATTTTACATTGGTTTTAGGAATTTTGTTCATTTGTAATGTTTTGTCCTATTATTGTTTTTAACTCCCACATACGCACGCTAACATCATTCCTCTCCTTCTCCTCCCCACCCCCCTTCCCTTTTCGTTTGTTGTTTCGAGGGGATGCCTTTGTTTTCATATCTCTGAATGCCAAGTGTGTGTTGATCTAGGCTGCTGCTAAGGGCTGGCTCTGACGGAACCAGAAGTCCTTTTTTCTCCTCATCAGAGACCCCTTTAGGCAAATGTTAACCTGCCAAGAGCATGTGCCTTCCAAGGAGGATTTGCAAATGAACTAGTTGTTTTCCACGAAAAATATTTCCTGACCTAAATCTTTCTGTCCTAAGGAAAAAAAAAAAAAAGAAGAAAACTAAAAAAAGAAATGATGTGCAATGAGTACTATTGCAGATGAGAGAATATTTTCCCTAGTGTCCCCCCTGCTCAGTCATATTTACTGTTTCTAGAATAAAATAATACATTCTGGTGAGCACAGCATTTCATTTGGATTGTATGCAGAACTGACCCCGAGCCAATAAACAGATGTTTTACCCAAGTGGATTAGCCCACTTGCATGTTTGTCTCAATTATAATCTGCCAGTAGCTTTGGAAAATCAGACATTTGGGGGAATAGTCTCATCTTAGAGTGTTGGATATTACTGGCTGACTCCTCCTGGGATTTGTGAACAGCAGTGCCAGTACAATGAATTTTAAATACAATTCTACAGTGCTGAAAAAGCCTGTTTTTTATGAGGTATCACAAGCATCATGGTGGTAAATAATTTAAATGTTCTCTTTCCTGCTCTCCTTTGTGTTTCTTGGAAACTTTAAGCACTGCTTTGTATAAATAAGAGCAGGATAAGTTTGGAAATGCTTGACCCAGGACATCTGTGCAGCCTGAGGACAGTGTGAGGTGACACCTGCCCCTAAGGCTTAGGGGGAGCTGTGGGCAGGCAGGTGGCAGCAGCCTTTGCTAGAGGAATGCTCTTAGAGGCAGAGTGCGTGTAGCAGGAGGTTCCCAGTACTGAGAGCTGGAATTCTGTCTCTCCCAGTCTGCCAAGAGACTCTTTGTTTGTGCTTTATAACACTGTCAGCAAGAGGCAGGACAAGTTCCAATATGCAGTTGCCTCTTCTGAAGGTGAAGTAGGAAGAAACTCGGTGCCTGTTTTCTTTGACCTGGTTTATGTGCGCAGGCATAGCCACTTCAAGACTTCCATGTTGACTGTTTTGGCCCTTGCCTTGCAATATTTCTTCTAAATATACCAACAAGATGTCAGGCAGCAGTGGCACCTCCCAACCACAGGTACAATGGTGACATGAAAAACCAGTGTGCAGTGAGATGTGGAGCTTTCTTTAATAGTTCCGTCTTCCACGCAGATAGCACATTTTACTTCAATATTTGTGCAGCTTTTGTAGTTTTGGTATAATATCTTCTGCCTTGCAACTATATTCTCCCTTGACAATTAAAGAAGTGCCAACCTTTTGTAAAACTTTCAGTTTATTTCTGGATTATATTTGCTAATATCACTGTTACATCCCAGTTTTCTTTGCTATTGTTTTTACAACAAACAGAAATAGGTCGATTTATACCAGTGCTCCGATTTTACTGTAGGTCACCCCAGGATTGGATGAAGCAGTGATATAGTGAATAGGGTGCTGACCTGTGCTCAGTGACTCCTGCTGCAGAGCGAGAGCTGCTGTAGTGACAGGACCATCCCTGTAAACAGAGTTCTTCCCTTGAACTGGAAATTCAGTCTACAGAACGTTTCCTGATGCCCAAAATTTTGGTGGACATCCTTAATTTTCCTCTACTAATGCTTCAATATTTATGTCTTAGTACCCTTATTTATGAAAATAAAACTTTATTCCAAAATCAAATCTGTGGTATCTGCAGCAGGTTAGGTGTCAAGAAGGCTTTTGAAGCTTAATTTGAGGCTTGAGTTTTTTTGGAATTAGGGTTGTTTTTCTGAGAAGACAAAGCCACAATAATTACTGTTGCTGCTTATCCAAAGGGCATTACTGTTAACACTTAACAAAAGTTTTGTACAGAAGCACATTCCTCTGCAGTGTATCTAGGAATACAACGCTGCCCCTAAAGATTAACTTAGTGTTAGGAACTGTATTCTCCAGTTTAGTGCTCCCACTGAAGCCACTCTGAACCACGTGCTGCTCACTCACTCTGCCCCATCCCTCTCACCTCATGCCTCTACTCTACTCCCTTGTGGCAGCTGGAGAGGGAAACTGGGAGCACAAAAGGTAAGTGTAATTTACTAGAAACAGCAATGAGATAAAAAAATGAACAGTTACAGCAACAATACTCATGACTGAGTGTATAAGAAAAGAAATATTATTTCTCACTCTGCAGAAACCACCTGCAGTACCTGACCACTCACTCTACCATGTTGTCCTGAACCAAAGTGACCCTTTCCCCCCTTCCTGGAAAATGAGTGAATGAGGACGGAACAACCCCCATGTCCTTGCCATGCCCTCGTCCTGGTTACTGCAAAAAATTAATTCTCTCCTGGCCTGAACCAGGACACTTGGTCACTTCATATCCCAGGTTAGGAAAATGTCCCTCCTGAAGACAGCACTGAAAGCAACATTCAATAACAATCTTAAATCTCACTGAGATCAATGAGAATTTCATCAATGTCTGGAATTTAACATGTACTTAAAATGTTTCAGTGAATGAGGAAGGCATAAATCCATCTTTGGATGGTTGTCTAGCTGGATGCAAGGTTCTAGAGACATTAACTCCCATCCTTTGTCTCCTTCTGAAGCCAAACACTCCTCAGAGTAAGAGACCAAAGCTGCCCCAGGTTCATAGGCTGGGTGCTGGTTTTTAGACTGTTCTGATCATATCATCTAGCTTCTCTAGATCAGAGCTCAACTTTCACTCCAAGCCCATAGTAATTTTTTGAGTCAGAGAAGGCCATAGGCTAAAGAAACTGTCTGCCTGTCCCATGGTTAGGAGTAAAGGAAGCTGTTGAGCTCTCTCCATCTTGAATTACCATCTGTGCTCAAATGACCAGCTTAACAAAGGCTCTGAATGTGTCTAAGGTTTCTGCTGGTTTGGGGGGTTTTTTTGCTGCCTTTCATTCTTACTGGAATGGAAGGCAGCAATCTCGATGCAGCTAAAATGATAAGAATTTTCATTTGCAATATTTTTAGTTTCTTTTTCATTTTGTAAAGGTTTCTGGAATTCCAGCCATTCTAGGAGGCAGCCTCTATAAATACTTGTGTACTGCATATGTTTTTGCTATAAAATATATCTTAGCTTCCCAGCAGTTTTCCAAATGAAATGATTGAAAGCCTTAGATGAAATAGGTCTCAATATTTGTGTATTATCCAAGGTAATAACAAATGGCACCCTACTTGAATATACTTACAGATTCTCATACTTTTTTCAAAGCCAGAGAATACATTTTATGTATTTTCATTATAATTTTAATTGCATATTTTTTCATAAGTGCAGGGCTTTAAAAATTATATATTTCTTATATAGAAAAAAATAACTACATTTTACTTTCATATATTCTGATTATAAAAGAAAAACAGAAAAGTTTTCAGTTATCCTGATACGAACTCATAGCTACTAACTCTGGAGTAATTCTGCATTTACATAAAGTTGAAGACTGGAAAAGTCTGAAAATAAAAGAAAAATTGTTGTGAGAAGAAGAATTTTTTTTTATTGAAAGTCGTGGAAATTGCTCACATGCCTTCAATTTATTGCTTCCCTGCTTGGGCTAAGGAGCCACAGAAGCAATAAGTGAAATGGATCTACTGGGTAAATAACATCTCGATTTTTGTAATCCTTTTATGTGCTTACAGAGCAATGATTAAGTGAATGTGGCTTCTTAAAATTGGGCAGTATTTTAGCTCATCATATTCATATGCCAGATATGCTGCTGTTTTGATAATTATGCATCTATTGTCAGAGACAATCTCCACTTGTATAAAAGCTGCAGGTGTTTAGCACTTATTAAAATCAGGCAATTCATCTGTGGTCAAAAAATGTACATGCTCAGCCTTTTTACCACTATGTGATATTGAATAAAGTTTTGCAACAAATTTCGAAGATCCAGCCCAGTGCCCTTTCTTTTAATTTATTGAAAGAGAAAGGACTAGCTCTTGATTTCTTTGGTATGCATATAGGTAGCTGTAGACAGGATTAGCTTAGTTCTGCTTGAATATTTGCTGTCAGAAATAGTGCCTTCTTCTGGCAGTTGCTTTTGACAAGCTGGAAAATGGATACATTTTACTTAAGGAAGATCCTCGAGGTAAGTATTCTAGGTGCTCTCTTGTTGTTTGAGGCAAGAGCTGAGCATATATTTTAAAATTTTAGTTTACTTGCTGTCCCTCTCTTTGATATATGAAGGGAGTGAGTGGAAGTGAGTGAGAGGCTGAGATGCTCAGCACACAGCACCCTGGAGAGAGAGCTTTGCTTCTCATTTGAAATGCAGAGACTTCTCTGGTCAGCTGAGCTCATGGAAATTGAATGCATGCCTCATCTGTACCAGTCACAGGATAATGTGGGCTGTAGTGTTTAAGCTGTTCACAAAATGTCAAAAGAACATTTTGTCCGTGCAATACCCACATTATAAAGCATGGAACTACTTTAGCTTTCAGATGCTGTGTCAGCCATTACTGCAGATTTGTACTATTTATCATAGGAAACAGCTGAGCTTTGGGTTTATTTGGATCACATTTCAGGTGTTTTATATATGTTTTTAGCCTCTAAGCTCTGCCAGCATGCCCAAGTGGAATGAGATGTTCAAGGCCCAAGCGCAAATGGACATGCTCCGGTGAAAAGCTTCTGCAAAGTGGGAGTGAAATGTTTCAGCTGCACAAAGAAAATCTTTACCTCCCCAGCTGGACCTCTGAGTGAGTCAGGTCTGGGTGCTGTGTTTTTCCAGTAGCTATGAAGATTAGTAGGTGTAGGCAGGGATTTTGATATATTATACTTATTTTGCTGTTGTGTAATAGCCTATTGTTTATCTAGTGCCAACACAACTCCTTGAAATTGCTGGTAATGTATATTATATTTTGTATGTTCTCTCTCTCATGATGGTACACTGAACAATGGAAGCATTGATAAATATTTTGTAAACAATATGTACCAATTACCTTGATAAAAAAGGCAACTAGCAATTTTTTCCTGAACTCTGATTTTGACATCAAATAAGGCACAGTCTGAAGTGTTCTTAACAAAATAGAAGTTTCAATTCTACCAAGATAGTTAATGGGGTTTCTTTCCACTTATGCTAAAGATAGTTGCTAACACCTTTGGTCTGTTAATGTTCATCACAAAGTTCATCTGGTTGGCATAATTTGAGTTTACTTTAATGATTGCAATGAAAATGACAACCCAGAGTGTGAGGGTTTTTTTAAAATATTTTCATGCATGATTTTAAAAAACAGGCTTCTCAAAAAAGAAGATGCCTGGAATCTTAAGATTATAGTTGAAGGCAAAAGTTTGCTTTGCATATAATTGATTAGCAGCCTAGCTGTAATTGAAAAAGGGTGTCTTTTATAAATGTGCAGAAAAGAAGTGATAGTATTGCTGCTTGTAGATAGCTTAAAGTGACATCAGTGTTCTCAGAATGTGATTTTGTGCTTATTTTTACCATAGTTTGTAGTGGACAGCCCTCCAATAGAAAGTGAAACCATACTTTCTTTTTTTTTTTTTTTTTTCCATTGGTTTAGTAAATCAGATCAGAGTTCCCAATAGACTCTTTTTTCCTCTCTCCAGTTATTCTAGCAAGGGTTGCAGTAGCTACACTGAAGGCATGTGAGTAACTAGAGGAGTAAATCCTTCCAGATTTTTCACCAGCATATCAGAGCAAATCTGAAATTCTTTGTGCCCTCACTGACCAGTAGCAACACATTTGCATCTGCTACAATGAAATGTGTTACTTAATTAAAGCTAAACTGAGCATCTTGAATTTTGATGATCAAGTACCTGTGAATTTTGATAATCAATACATGCTCATGTATCAACTTGCTGCCTACAGACTGTGCCCAGAAAAGCCTTTTCAGATGGGCTGGAGGGATGAATTTGAGAATCACTCCCTGATGATTATAACACCAAGAATCATATTCTGAAGATATTAAACATAACCACAGATTTCAGTCAATCTTAATAAAGTGCCACGGAGTGCCCAGATTAGAAGACCAGATTCCTGGTTCTTCTCCTGTAAGCTTTCTCTGGCTCACTACTTTACCTGTTAGGGATTTTTACAATTAAGGGTTTTGGTGCATTTACGCATCAACAGGTATGAAGAGGTATGAAGAATTCAGGTCTACATAGGAGAGATGTGAATATGGACTTGCACTTACTCATTTTTGCTTGCCTGTGCTTAGAGTTTTAGAGATTAAAAAAATTACTTCATACCTTTAAAAGATACATTGATCCCTCTGTTAAATAATCTCCGATAGTTATGGGCACAATTCCTTTTTGTGTTTCCATATATGATTTAGTTGAATACAGGACATGAACTATTTCTTCACGTTTATATACCTTTATTTCAGAGAATAGTCATCCTCATACCTAAATATGTCTTGAAACAAAAATACCTTCCCGGGATTAGCAGTGTTGTAAAAAACTTCTACAACATTGTGGGAATATTCAGATGGGTTAATTGCCTTCAACTAAAACACCTGCATACTGACATCTGACTACCTACATACTCCATCCAAAACACCTACTTTTTCTCTTCAAATCTTAGATTTCAGGTCTTAGAATCTGAAATGTGCCAAAGTTACTCAACAATGTGTGGCATGGAAATCACCCATGATTTTTTATTTTGCAACAACTACCTGGAATTCATGAAACTTTGCCATCTGTTTAACACTTATGCTGTGTAGATGATGAAGATATTTTGCTTCATCTCCAAAATCTTTGTCAAGGGTATGATACAGACGTAGTGAAGGAGCAACTAAGTCAACTGTATTGCAACACACAACATAAAAAAACACCTTTATCTCAGAGATGATCAAATGGACTATTCTACTTTTAAGAGTATTTTTCTTGTTGTTATTATAAAAGAAAAGAAACCTTAGAAGTGCAATTCAAACTTTTTATAAGAGAATTTTATTGATCATAATTTCAAGACAGAATAATTGAAAAAACTCAGAGATGAATTGAAGAAAGGTGAAGTGGGAGCTTGAAAGAGCTTTTTGGGATAAACCATTACAATTTCAATTTAAAAAGTTATCTGTTTCTATAGTAAACAGAATATTGTGAAGTATTTTATAGGAGTTTGTATGTAGAAGTGATTTGAAAATAAATAAAGAAATAAACTTTTGAAATACTAGAAATTAAACTATCCCAGCATATGAAAGAGAAAATGCAGGATAATACCAAAAAAGATCCAATAACATGGAGATAGTTGCAAGATATGAAATTGCTTTCCCTGTCAAAGAGTTTTTCAAGTATCTTGCCTCCATAATGGGACAAGATGGCTAAGAAAAGAGTAATTTTCTGTCCTCTCTGAGAAGTACCAATTCTGACAGGCACGGATGCACTCTTGCATGTCCATTTCAAGAGGGTCATTGCTGTTCTCTATAAGCAAAATATTTTAAGAGAGATGGCACTCACAAAAATTCTACGAAGCCTGACTGATGCTGCATGAGTCCTTGCAGGATTAAGTCTGATAGCATTGTCCTTCTGTCCTCCAATGTGTGAGACAGACATGAGCAGGGATGATCCCAAGGACCATGCCTTCACTTGGGACCTTCACTGGCTCCAGCAGAGTCCATCTCTGCGTGCAATGGGGTGCAATAAGAAGAGCATTCCCCACAGGTAAGGACCGATGATCCTGCCCCTCTTCCCAGCCCCCACGAGGCCACATCTGGAGTGCTGTGTCCAGTTCTGAGCTCCTCAGGACAAGAGAGACATGGAATCGGTCCAGCAGAGGACTACAAAGATGAATGGGGGACTGGAGCATCCCTTTTCTGAGAAGAGCCTGAGGGAACTCGGGCTGTGCAGTCTCAAGAAGAGACGACTGTGAGAGGACATCATCAGTGTCTGTCAGTATCTGAGCGGTAGAGAGGTCAAGAGGGTGGATCCAGGATCTGCTCAGTGGTGTCAAGCAATAGGACAGGAGGCAACAGGCACCTTCCTGTGATAAAGAAGTTAGATAAAGATAAAGAAGAACTTTTTTACTGTGCAGATGACCGAGCACTGGAGCAGACTGTCCAGAGAGGTTGTGGAGTCTCCCTCACTGGAGATATTCAAGAACTGTCTGGATGCAATTCTGTGCCACGTGTATTGGGATGGCTCTGCTTGAGCAGGGAGGCTGGACCACAGATTTCACTGTGGTCCTTTCCAACCTGTTTCATTCTGTGACTTTGTTTATCTTCCACATTTGAAACAGTTTTATGATTGCAAAGCAAAGCACTGAGGAATCAAAGGACAGTTCCTTTATGACAGCAATTTCACTTGCATGTATGAATTGAGTTAACAGAGATCAAACCTCAAAAAGGTAAGGCTTGGAAGCACTGTTCAGTCTATTGCCTTAAAGCTGTTTTTCTTAGAGCAGCTTTACGTGCAATTGATTTGCTGCCTGTCCTATGCAGGGATCTTGCAGAATAGTTATCAGGGGATTGTGTCATGAAATATTTGGAAAGACAGTTCCTACTATAATGAGAAACTTAACTTTTGATAAAATTACTGATTTGTGCATATCAGTAGGAAGACAATTTGTCAGAAAGAATCATAGCTGTTAGGCTCTCTGTAATCCTTTGATTGTCAAGGGGGCATCCCTGGTAGTGGAAGAAGGAAGGTCTGGGAGGGGGAAGCCTTTCATGTGTGCAAGAGAGAAAACTTTGAAATATGGCCTATGAAGATGAGACTTGTATGCCTGACTTCTAAAGAATGTCTAATAAATGCCTTCTTGGCTATATTTTCACTGCTCTAACTTTGCTTTATTTTGACGTGTGATTCCTCCTATCCTGCTTCGTCTATTCTTGTTTTTCTGCATCCATATTTCAGGACCTAATTTGGGTTGAAAAAGACCTCAGGACATCTCCAGCCCAATCTCCTGATCAAAGCAGAACCAGGTAGGTCAGGCCAGGTTACTTAAGACTATTTTGGTCAAGACTTGAAAACCTCCAGGGATGAAGTTTGAAAAGCCTCTCTGTACACCCTGCTCTAACATCTGAGTGTTCTCACTGTGAAAAAGCTTTTCCTTATGGGCAGTTTGAGCTTTTCTTATTTAAATTTGTGCCTGATGTGTCTTTTCCTTGCAGTACACACTGTCATCAAGAGCCTGTGTTTGTTTCCTGGATGACCTCCCTGTAGATATTGGGATATCCTCCTCACTGAAGCCAGGTGGTGGTTTAACACCAACAGGAAATTAAATTCCAAGTAAGCTGCTTCCTATTTCCTTCCTTCTGATATGGGAGGGACAAAAGCAGAGACTAAGGGTTGAGGTAAAAATTTACTGAAAACAAAAACCTATGGAATAAGAAATGTACAATAACAACAAAAATAATACCAAAAGTTTGCAAAGAGAGGTGTTTTATCCCCAGAAAAGTATTTACCACTAGGAACAAAAACGAGATGGTGTATGGTCGCTGCAGGTCATGTCCATGGTTTCCCCAGATAAAGAAAATAGGGTGACTGTTTCCATGTGCCACCCATGTGACAGTAGAGAGGAAAGGCAAGATGGCAAGGTTGCTTCCATGGATAGTGTTTCCCACCCCACTAGCCAAAACCAATGAAAAATCAGTGACAAACAAACCCCACAAAAGCTGCTCATCCTATGGGATCCCATTACCACTCCCCTGGGCTCCAGTCTCCACAGGATCCTCAGATGCTGCTTCTATGGCTCTGCTGCACTGGAGGACAGTCCTGCTGTTGCTGCTTTCCATTCTGCTGCACTCCTGTTGGTCAGTTCAGCTGGGTTCAGCTGAGCTTCCTTCCACTGAGATCCACAGTTTTGGCCAGGTTGGTGTAATTCCCAGCTGTTCCTTTCGCCGTGGCAGTGTCTGCATAGGAGCTGTCAGTTCAGCACTGCAGCCAATTCACATTTTCACTGCTTTCCTTTCAGCACTACATCCCATAGCCACAGCCCAGAGCTGTGTGAACATGACCAATACCCTGATGTTATTCTATACCATCCTTACATCATTGCCAGGAACAGGGAAAAGGATTCTTTATTTCCCAGAAAGAAAGGATGACCCTTTCCCATTGAAGAGAAAGCATGGAGTGCAGAGAGTCTGTCCATCATTATTTTTATTGTTCTGCTATTGGTGAGCATTTTGCATGTAAATCACCCTCTCTTTGTACACTTTCGCTATAAATATTGTTGCTGTTACTGTTTGTTCTCTCATCTCGTTGCTATTCCCAGTAAATTCTTATCTCCACCTGTGATCTTTAACTTTTTGCTTCCAACTGTAGGGCAAATGAAGAGCGAGTGCTGGAGCAGTTTCAGTGGCAGCACTAAGTTGGGAGATACTATTCCTTAACCATGACAACTTTTTTGTGGCTTTCTGGCTCCATATCATCCATTAATCGTGGCACTCTAAGCCTAATCACTCAGACATTTTTTATTGATCTACTAGTTCACTCTGCTGGTTTGAAAGCAGACCAGTGGGAGATATTAAGTTAGAACTACAATTTAATAGGAAAATTAAAATAAAATGCAGCATTACAAAAACACTGACAGAGTCAGAATACAACTTGACACCCTGTTGGTGTCAGGGTGTTGGTAGCAGTCTGACTAAATGGTGGCTACAGCGAATTTAACATAGAAAACAGCCTGAAGAAGACAGAAGGCTGGTCAGGTGCCATTTGCACTTAGTAAATCCACGCTGCTTGTTTTGAGACACCTTCTCATTCACAGGCATGAGAATGTGTACCTGTAATGATGAAGGTGAACCTGGTCCTTTTGAAACTTGGGTTGGCCTTCCACCAAGTCAGTGAAACTGGATGGCAATTTTCATTCCTGTGAAGAACAAGATACTGAATATTTCAAGTCAGTGGGAGTTTTAGCAGCTATTTCAGTGGAAACAGCTCCTAGCTGTAAAGTAGAAATGGGCTTGTTTGTTAATAAAAAGTCTGAGTTAATCATAGTTTAAGACTGAGGACAGGATTTTTTGTTTCATTGTATTTTTAGACAGAACTCATAGGCCAAACAATAATAAAGAAGGATGTCTTGCCCTGGGAGCTGCTATCACCCAGACACACTTGAAGTTTGTGTGATGTGGAAGGCATTATGAGCTAACCATAAAGAGCTCTGCCTTTAGTGCATAATAGCTAGGAGAATAGCTGTGCCTTGAAACTCAGACTAAGGGATTTTAGCTCAGTAGGTAGGAGACAGATTGAGGGTCAAACCTGACCTAACCTTCAAGATGATTTCAGCAGGAGTCCTGAAAGAATTGTATCTGTTTACCTTTCTTGTCTTTTTTGTTTTACTAAAATTTTCAGTCCTTGAATAATGAATTTGAGACCACGTAGCCTAATGCAAGAGCAAAACACAGTGTTGCACATCAGCAAGGTAAATAAGCGCTTTGTTTTGTTGACTGATAAAGCAATCCTTTCTTTTTCTTGTGTATTTTCTTTTCTCCCTGTTGTTTAAATTTGATTCTCATATGCTATTTCAAATTAGATTTAAAATGTGTGCTAACACATTCCTAAAAAGACATGCTGTCTTTGCTACATGACCAAGGAGTTTTATGTAATCTTTAGTGCAAAGAAAAGGGTAAATTCACCCTACACATGCTTATGTATTCCACAGCTTGTACAGCTTTAAATCACTTGACCAGAAGGATGCTCATTACCAGGAACAGAGCCTATACTCCACATGACTACACACATCAGAAACATTTGATATGGATTTCTACCTGCCTCTTGATTGTGTACTAGTCTGGTAATATCAGAAAACCTGACATCTTTCCTCACTCTGCCACAGATTCTCCTAATCTAATTTGACACATTCAGCTGTAAAGCTCGAGTTAGAGTATTGGTACCACAGAATGTCTTTCAATAAATATGAAGAGATAAGCACATCCCAGGAATGATTCAGCCCATCTCTGTTTGTCTGTCTGTTGCTAATATATGGAGTTTGGGACAGTTAGGCTCCTATATTATTGTCTCACTAAAGCAAACAAATCTGTCCATGTTTTCACCCAATCTTGGGCAAGCATTGTTCCAAATAAACTTTTACAAATTATTTCACCCATTTTCAGACCCTTGAAAAATTTAGGATTTTTTTCCAATCCTTTTAGTGTGTTCTTGAAAGAAGTGTGGTGGGGGGGAGTTCTATTTTGATAGGCAAAACGTTGATTGAGCAACTTTAAATTTTCTGTTGTTTTAATGAATTTCTGGATGGAAGCCATTCAATGCTCATAAATTTCAAAAATGTTCCAAACCAAGAGCTATTGCATGGCTCTGATTGGCCAAAAGGTGATATCAGGAGCCCCAAAGGTACTACTTCAGCATACCAAATTCAGCAAATCTTGGCTTCCCATTGCTTTGCTTTGGTCTTCAGAGCTGAGTGGAAACAAAGATAGCAACTGAAGATGGATCAATGGACCTTCAGGTATAGTTTGGTTCTGCAGGCAGCCAGACTTATTTAGACATAGACCCTTTTTAGAGGTATATAATTTCTATTTGCATGGCCATTTAATGCAGAAACTAATGACAGTACGGAATAGGTAAGATATTTATTACAAAAGACTATTAAATACAACTGGAGGGAAATGCTTTAAGAGGGGGCCTACACAAGAAGAAAATTGTCTTACAGCCTGCCCCAGGCAAGGGAAAATGACAGCACTGGCATGCAGAAAAGTTTTACATGAGAAAGCTTTAGGTGGAGTGCAAACATCTCCTGAACTGGCAAAGTTACCTTTGGCATGTGTGCTCATCTTTTCATGCTTGGTGTATCACAGTAGGGCAAGGCTGACATTAACTGCAGTCTCTGGGTGTTACTTGTTTCACAAGTAATTGCAGACAGAACAGGGCTGTTCTAACGTAGGAATAAAGGAAACAGGAGATGTAAAAGAATATCCAGGATTCAGCACATTATCACCCAGTTTTCAGCTCTCATATCTTTTTGAGGTACAGAAGTGCTGTTATTTTCAGGATATTGATGGTAAATGTATTAAAGTCTAGCAGTATTAAGCTGTTTATGATAAATCCCACACAGAATCTGCAGAAAAGCATGAAGAGAATTCATAAGGTCAGCTCCATGCCTTCATTCTCAGACACTGCATCTCTTTACTCAACTACTAATAGTGAATTTTTCCCAACCTCATGCAAACTGTTTTTTCTCTAATTTGATTCCATTGCTTTTTCCTGTCCAGTCCTCCTAATGCCATGATAAGCTGTGCTTCTGAATTCAAAAGGAATTCAAAAAGAAAACAAGAGCATGTTAAATGTCATATACAGTATGCTTTTGTGGGACTGTTAAACGAAATACAGCAAATAGTTCTCTTTCTCTTCTCACTAATTTAAACCACAGCTATAATGCAAGTTGTGATATTTATGTATAGAGTAACTTTTGTTGTCATGTAAAGACAAAATAATGGTTTTTATAGAACAAGATCTGACACTGCCCTATACTTTCATAGAACATAAGTGAATCTAATATACATGCTATTTCTCTATTTGGTGCTGCACATCTCTGAATTACTTGGACAAAAAAAAAAACCAAAAAACAACAAACCAACAAAAACAAGTCCCTACAGAACCCTTAATCCTCCTTGCATAAGCCCCAACAATTTTCAGTGCTAAAACACTTGATTAGTAGTCCTTTCAGCAGTGATATCTTCTTAACAGAATTCCTGTGTTATGCCTTACTGGAAGAGCACAAGAGATGCTGCAAACAGCTGTCCCCTTGTGAACATAGGATAGCTTTTCACAAAAATATTTGCGATAGTAACATGCAAGTAGCTACCACTGGGTATTATTAGTTTTTTGTACTTGAACTCCAAGACAAGCCTAAAAAATTCAAATTTTAACAAATTCCATAGCACTACTTGAAAGCATAATATTTCTCATAAAGTGCACCAGTGGAGTCAGGCTACATACTCACAACATGACAAAGAAAGTCTCTTAATTTAAAACTGAATGAGTTCAGCTTAGCTTTAGTGGTGGTAATTTTTTTCACTCAGCTAATCATCCTCCCTCTGGGCTAATTTTGAACATTGCTCTTTATTTTCTCTTTACAGCTGTACTTAGAAAAGGAAGAGACACTAAGACATAGTTGTATTTTCCTCATTTATTCCTTTAAATGAAGTTAAAGAAACTCTAATGTTAAGGAGTGAAAAATCTCAGGAAATGTTTTCATTAGAACTCTGCTGGCAGCAGCTATGCCACTGGCATTG